GAAGCATCCTGTGTAGAGACAGTGAATGCAGGAGTAGTTCCCTTACCCTCAGGCTGTGTCAGAGATGCCCACTGGAAAACTCCTTCTTCTAAAGTGATGCCAAACTATGGGTCATTGGAAGTCTTACCTTGAGGCCAGAGCAGTAGGATCCAGAGGAGCAAGGACTGGGAGAGCATTGTGACCCTGGCAGAGCTGGAGGCAGAGAGCTCTGAGCTCAGAGGGAGACAGATGGGAGATATTTGTATCTCAGGCTGGGTTTGAGAAGGTGCCTTGGATATCACCATGCAAAACAGTGCTGGCCCAGCCTGAACTGAAGGACCCCAGGAGTGGTTATATTCACATTGGAGGGAGTGGCCCAATTGTATTTCCTGGAAGGCTTCACCTCACATGGCCTCTGTTTTTATTGCTGTTTTAAATGCACCTGCCTTAGGCTGGACATGGTGGTGGCTGTGGCAGGTGGCCAGTTGTGGTTATAAGCAGGGGAAGCCTGTCTACCTTCCCAGGAGAGATCTGATGGCTCTGGGTCTAGAGACCAAGAGTTGACAAGGGTCTATGCAAAGAACAGAATGAAGAAAGAGAGGAAGGAGCTGAGTTAGAAAGAAAACTAAGACCAGGGAAGTAACAAAATTTATAGAGAGTTAAGGGCCCAGGCTTAGATGAAATGGAGACGGGTGTGTGTGGGGGGGGGCTTGGAGATTCTGTGGTCTACTATGTGTTGGGAGGAGAATGTGTCCCTTGCGTTGTTGAGGAGAAACGTTTATTCTTCTCTCCGGTGTTTCTGTTATATCTTTCTGAAAGCTAAAAAACAAAAAAAAGATTGCTGGTCTTAACCTTTTTTTCTGTAGATGGGGAAACTGAGGCCAAAAGGAGGAATATAATTATTCAGTTGCTTTTTTCCTATTAAAGTACATCTTCTCTTTCCTCCCTGATGTCTTGGCACAGCCCTGCCTCACTTAGGTCCAGTTCACTTGCAAGTCAAGCTGTCCCTTCCTGATGTCATTGGTTTCTTCCAGAAAGAATAAACAACAACCAGCTGCCACCTTGGAATCTTTCCCTGTAGACAAAACCAGCTTGAGCCAGGTCGGCCCCTGACATTCTCACTCCTTCTGTTAGGATTCAGGTCATGAAGGTCAGAGCACCCATTTATAAGTATATGACTCATCATATGGAAGAAATGAGGAAGGAAAGAGAGAAGGAAGGAGCATTGCCCAGCTGGAACTGAACAGTTGGGTCCCCAGTGGGGCAGCTACTACTCCTCACAGATTGTTGTTTGTACTACATTCTTTTAAAAATACATTTATTTTTACTTTTCAACATTCACTTTCATAAGATTTTGAGTTCTACATTTTTGCACCTGCTTACTACTCCACCATCAATGCATTAGTGTTCTAATTTTTACACATCTTCTCCAGCGTTTATCATTTTCCTCTTCCATCAAGTTAACTAATATAACAGGTGTGAGATGGTACCTAAGAGTTCTTTTAATGTGGTTTCTTAATCCATAGTGATTAAGAGCATTTTTTTTCATGTGACTATAGATAGCTTTAATTTCTGCATCTGAAACTGCCTGTTCATATCCTTTGACCATTTGTCAATTGGGGAATGACTTGTATTCTTATAAATTTGTCTCAGTTCTCTCTGTATTTTAGAAATGAGGCCTTTATCAGAGATACTGGCTGTAAAAATTATTTCCAGCTTTCTGCTTCCTTTCTAATCTTGGTTGTATGGGTTTGTTTGTGCAAAAACTTTTAAATTAATATAATCACAATCACCATTTTGCATTTCATAACGTTCTCTTTTTCTTGTTTTGTCATAAGTTGTGCCCTGCTCCATAGATCTGACAGGTAAATTGCCTTGCTCTCCTAATTGCTTTATATCAGTCTTTATATCTTGATATGGTGTGGAAGATGTTGGTCTGTGCCTAATTTCTGCCATAGTATTTTCATTTTCCTAAGGGCTTTTGTCAAATAGTTCTCATCCCAAAAGCTGGAGTCTTTCAGTTTATCAAATAGTAGAGTATTATTGTCGTTGACTTCTGCATCTTGTGTAACTAACTTATTCCAGCGATCTATCACTCTATTTCTTTGCCAGTACCAGGTAGTTTTGATGAGTGTTGCTTTTTAATAGTTGTAGATCTGGTAGTCCTAGGCCACCTTCCATTGCATTTCATTTAATTCCTTTGATATTCTGGATCTTTTGTTCTTCCAGAACAAAATTATTATTTTTGGTACTTTCATTGGAATGGCAATCAACAAGTAAATCAATTTGCGTAGAATTGTCATTTTGATTACATTAGCCAGGCATATCCATGAGCAGCTGATATTTTCCCAGATATTTACATCTGATTGTTCCTTTATTCTTAAATGGGACCAATGAAATCGGGAAGGTGATGTCTTGACTTGACAGGGAGTTGGATTTAAGTGAGGCAGTGCCATGCAAAGACACCAGCCTCATGCTCTTCTGTAAAGACATGTGGGTCCAGTGGCAAGACATAGATCAGGATGACTATAAAGGGTTCCTGAAACCTGAGAAAGAGAAATGAAAAACTGAGACCTGGGAAAGACCTCTCTCCCACCACATCTGGGGCCATCTTGCCTATCATCTTGACCTATGTCTTAGCACAGGGCTCTGATGGATCAGAGGGGGAGAGTGAAGCTGATGTCTTTGCACAGCCAACTGCCTCACTTAAATCCAATTCACTGGCAAGTCAAGACATTCCCCTCTGTTGTCACTGATGCTCTTCCACAAAGAAGGAAAACAACAAACAACAACGACCCCCCCTTGGAATCTTTCCGTGTAGACAAAACCAGCTGGAGCCAGCTTGGCCCCTCACCTTCTTACCCCATGTTAGGATTCATGGCATGAAGGACAAAATAACCAGAATGAAACAGTTTTCCTTGCTCAGATCAGCCAGGTGGCTGGATCTCATGACTAGGGCTTGCTACCTTCTCCTCTTCCTTCTAAAGACAAAACAACTTGTTTGATCTCAAGATTGGTAAATCCATTTTGCTGTGCACTCATGGGACATCCCCAGGGGGCAGGCTTGCTACCTAGGATCTCCATTAAAGATGCTTTATTTCTCTACTTGTGGCTTGGTTATTTCAGCACCTGATACTCCCTTCTTAAGTATGACTTGTTAATCAGTCAATCAATCAATTAATCAATCACTTATTCAAAACTAATTACATGATTCCTCTGTGATAGACTTTATGGATTCATTGCATCTGGATATTCAACATATTCCTTTCCATAGGGAAGGTGACATCGCCTTCTCGGGTAGAAACCTAGACTTGAAAGACCCAGAGGATTCTAAAAGATAGAGGGGAGGGCCTGCTTGGCATCTATCCAGTACAAAGTCATGGAGGTGGGAGATGGGAATGTTGGGTGTGTAGAAGAACAAGGTCAGGAATTGTCACCTGTGCCTTGGGGTGTTATTGCCTTCTGACTCCTTGAAGGCTATGGGATGCCCTAGAGTTTGCTGAGCTTAGAGTTGGTGTATATGACATGAGACCTGCTTGAGTCCTTCATTACCCAGTGAAGGCCAAAAACATGGACTGGCCAGTCAGAGAAAATGATTTAAGTCCTTCTGCACTGAGATGCCAACAATCCTCTGGGATGGTCTCTGAGTGGACCTGAAATTTTCCTGCTGTGTCAGCAACCAGAAGATCAGATTAATCTTGCACACATATCCTGAGTCAGGGGCACTTCCTTGCTTTTGTGGCCACATAATCCCCCATTAAAGTAAATGAAACACTAAGTTTTAGGGAAACATCAGAAAGGATATTTAACCCTTAAGTTGTAGTTAGTGAAATGTTACTATTTAAGGGAAAAATTCCTGGGAATGTATCTGCACCTGCTATTTGTCACTTACCTGGCGCCACAGGGCTCTGAAAAATGTAAAAACAGTATGGGTGACATCTTTTGATTCATGTGTGAATTTCGTTTAAGTGAAGCAGAGCTGCATGAAGTCATCAGCCTCACTCTCTTCCAGAGTGATCGCAGTCTAGTGGCAGGGCACAGTCAAGGTGACTGGTGGTGGCTGAACATGCAGGGGGGTAACCTTGGCATTTTCCATGTCTAACCAAGCTCTAAGTGCTCCACAGTCCCTGCTTCAGCCACCTTTGTGGCCATTGTAACAGATTGTTCTCATCTGCCATTCCAGAAAAAGGAGGTCTTCACAGCTTTTGGTTAGACATTCCGTTAATTCACAAATGGGATTGAGACCCCTTGGTGGCCTTCAATCAGGTTACGTGTGTGTGTGTGTGTGTGTGTGTGTGTGTGTGTGTGTGTCTGACTGCTTTGGTCCCCTTGACAACTTTTATGCTTCTTGTCATGAATGCTAATTCCTGTAGCCCCTCTCTGATCTGGCTCCAGTGTTGCGGCTACTCTGTCCAGGGCCTGGCCCTCAGCATTGGGAGGGCAGTATCCTGGCCCTACAGAAGTAGAGATAGCAGGCCTGTTGTCCTCAAATTAGGTTCTGAGGCATCTATCCCTGCAGATGGAAGTCATGAATGATTGCACAGCGACAGTGAGTTCTCAGGGTGAGGAGAAAGACTGGATCCATCCTATAGATGAGGTTGCCTCAAGAACTTTAGGGACTGTTCCACACACCTTGTCTATCCTGCCTGGGGAAAAACAGACAGAGCTGAGAGTCCAGGTCCATTCCCCTGCATTGTCTATAGTTTCCTCCTCAGAAGCAGCTCAGGTCTCTGGACTTAGGATTGGGAGCAGAAAACAGTAAAAATGAGAAGCAGATCCCATGGGAAGATTTGTGGTCCTTGGCTAAAGCCTACCAGGCAGAAGATTTTTCTCTTCCTCCTTTTTCACTTTCTTCTTAGCCTTTCTACCTCAACCAAGGTCCCTTTGACAAATGACTCCTGCAGCAGGACTGAATTGGGCCCAGTTCTCCCCTGAGGGTGATGGTTTTCTCAAGCCTGTAACTCTGGGGAAGCAGCTGCTGCCCTCTGCTGAAGGGCTGAGCAGGCTCGAAAGGATTTTGTTCACTGTGGGAATGGAGCACTGTCATACTTAGAACAGTTGTAATCTGCCACATCCTTACCCTCCACTGCACTGATGGTGAAGGTGTAATCTGTCCCAGAGCCACTGCCACTGAATCGGGCAGGGACCCTGTACTGCAGGATGGAAGAAACATAGATCAGGAGTTTGGGAGACTGTCCTGGTTTCTGCTGGAACCATTGCATTGCCTTGACAATGTTAGAACTGCCCTTGCAGCTGATGGTGACTTGGTCTTCTGCAGCCACAGAGAGGGAGGCTGGGGACTGGGTGAGCTCTATGGCTGCTTGGGAATCTGAAGGAGAAGAAGAAAGAGATTGCAGTCAATGAAGAATCCTGTGTAGAGACAGTGAATGCAAGAGTAGTTCCCTTACCCTCAGACTGAGTCAGATATGCCCACTGGAAAACTACTTCTGTCTCTAAAGTGGTGCCAACCTATGGCTCTTTGGAAGTCTTATCTTGAGGACAGAGCAGTAGCAGCCAGAGGAACAAGGACTGGGAGAGCATTGTGATCCTTGCAGAGGTGGAGTCAGAGAGCTCTGAGCTCAGAGAGAGACAGATGGGAGGTATTTTTACCTCAAGCTGAGTTTGAGAAGGTGCCTTGGATATCACCATGCAAAACAGTGCCGGTACAACATGAAGTAAAGTACCCCAGGAGTGGTTATATGCATGTGGAGGGAGTGGCCCAACTGTATTTCCTTGAAGGTGTGACCTCAGGTGGCCTCTTTTTTATTGCTGTATTAAATGCATCTGACTTAAGCTGGACATGGTGGTGGCTATAGCAGGTGGCCAATTGTGATTATAAAAGGTAGAAAGGGTGGCAAGGAGGGGGATGGGGACCTCTCTTCCCAGGAGAGATGAGATGGTTTTTGGTCTTGAGACCCAGAGTTGACAAGTGTCTATGCAAAGAATAGAATTAAGAAAGAAAAGACCAGGGAACCAACAAAATTTAAAGAAAGCAAAGGGGCCAGGCTTAGATGAAATGGAGATGGAGGGGACTTGGAAATTCTTTGGTTTACCAGGGGTTATGGGGAGAATGTGTCCCCTGAGTTGCTGGGGGGAGATGTTTATTCTTCTATCCTGTATTTCTGTTCTATCTTTCTAAAAGCTAAAAAGAAAGAATAAAAGGATTGCTGTTCTTAACCGTTCTTTTTGTAGACAGGGAAAGTGAGGCCAAAAGGAGTGACATGGTTATTCCGTTACCTTTTTCCTATTAAAGTTCATCATCTCCTTTCCTCCCTCAGAAAGTTTCCACACCAATCAACAGTGGGATCAAGCCTGTTGCACTTGTAGTATTTTCTGGTTGGTGAGATAGGGAGATCAAGTCACAAAACAATTTGAGAGGGGAAGACCCTCAGTGTTCCTAGACAGAACAGAAACAATTGCTATTTATACTCACTCTGAGCTGTCAAAGCTCAAACAATGACCAATAGAAGCTTGGGCTGGGACTTATTATTGACCAGTTGGTGAGACCCAGAGTAATTTGTATTTCAGGCATATGGAAGTATCTCCATTTGAATCTGAATGTGCTTTATCAAAGCCTGGTTTTCCAGAGCTCAATCTCAAGAAATTTATATTACTTTCATTAGAATACCTATATGTAAGTGTATGACTCCCCACAGGGAGGAAATGAAATAGGAAGGAACTAGAGAAGGAAGGAGCATTGCCCAATTGGAACTGAACAGTTGGGTCCCGGTGAGGCAGCTATTACCACTCACAGACTATTGTTTGTCCTTCATTCTTTTTTTAAAAAAATTATTTATTCTTAGTTTTCAACATTCACTTTTATAAAGTTTTGAGTTCTAAATTTTTCAATCAGTTCACAACTCCACCAACAATGCATTAGTATTCCACTTTTCCCACATCATTTCTAACATTTATCATTTTCTTCTTTTGTCTTGTTAGCCCATCTGATAGGTGTGATGTGGTATTTCAGAGTTGTTTTAATGTGCATTTTTCTAATCAGTAATGATTTAGAGCATTTTCTTATATGCTATAGTTATATTTAATTTCTTCATCTGAAAACTTCCTGTTCATATTCTTTGACCATTTATCTATTGGAGAATGACTTGTATTCTTAACAGTTTGACACAGTTCTGTATATGTTTGTGAAATGAGGGTTTTATCAGAGACACTGGCTGTTAAAATTGTTTCCCAGCTTTCTGCTTCCCTTGTAGTCTTGGTTGCATTGGCTTTGTCCAAAACCTGTTTAATTTGATGTAATCAGAATTTTCCATTTTGCATTTCATGTTTTCTGTGTCTTGTTTGGTCATTCATTCTTCCATTCTCCACAGATCTAACAGCAAACTATTCTTTGCTCTCCTAATTGCTTCTAGTTTCACCCTTTATGTCTAAATCATGTACCTATTTTGGCCTTATCTTCATATATGGTGTAAGATGTTGGTCTATGCCTAATTTCTCACATACTGTTTTCCTGTTTTCCCAGCAGTTGTTGTCAAACGGTCAGTTATTATTCCAGAAGCTGGAGTCTTCTGATTGATGAAACAGTAGATTGCTATAGTCATTGACTACTGTGTCCTGCACACCTAAACTATTCCAGCGATCTACCACTCCATTTTTTGGTGAATACCAAGAAATTTTGGTGATTGCTGCCTTAACATACAATTTTAGATCTTGTATGGCTGGGCCACCTTCCCTTGCATTTCTTTTAATTAATTCCCTTGATATTCTGGACTCTTTGTTCTTCCAGATGAATTTTGTTTTTATATTTTCTAGCTCTGCAAAATAATATTTTAACTGATGGGCAGAATAAGTAAATTAATTTGTGTAGAGTTGATATTTTTATTATGTTAACCTGGTCTACCCATGAGCAACTGATATTTTTCCCATTATTTAGATCTGATTTGTCCTTCATTCTTCAAGAGGATCAGTGACATCAGGAAAGTGATGTCTTGACTTACAAGTGAACTGGATTTAAGTGAGGCAGCGCTGTACAAAGTCACCAGCCTTGCTCTCTTCTGTAAAGCCATGTGGGTCCAGTGGCAAGACATAGATCAGGATGAGTATAAATGGTTCCTGAAACCTGAGAAAGAGAAATGAAAAACTGAGAGCTGGGAAAGACCTCTCTCCCACTACATCTGGGGCATTCTTGTCTATCATCTTGACCCATGTCTTAGCACAGGCCTCTGATGGGTCAGAGGGGAAGGGCGAGGCTGATGTCTTTGTGCAGCTCCTGCTTCACTTAAATCCAATTCACTGGAAAGTCAAGACATTCCCCTCCTGTTGTCACTGAGGCTGTTCCAGAAAGAAGGATAAACAACAAACAACAGTGACCAGCCTCCATCTTGGAATCTTTCACTGTAGACAAAACCAGTTGGAGCCAGCTTGGCCCCTCATCTTATTACCCCATGGGTTAGGATTCATGGCATGAAGGACAAAATACGCAGAATGAAGCGGTTTTCCTTGCTCAGATCAGCCAGGGTTGCTGGCATGTCATGACTAGGGCTTGCTAGCTTCTCCTCTTCCTTCCTAAAGGCAAAAGAACTTGTCATGTCTCTCAAGATTGGGAAATCCATTTTGCTGTGCCCTCATGGGATGTCCCCCAGGGGGGCAGGCTGGCTACCCCAGGATCTCCATGAAAGATGCTTTATTTCTCTACTTGTGGCTCTGGGTGATTTCAGGACTTGATGCTCCCTTGTTAAGTATGACTTCTCAATCAATCAATCAGTTAATCAATCAATCACTTATTCAACAAGCAACTTGATTACATGATTCCTCTGTGGTAGATTTTATGGATACATTGCATCTGGATATTCAACATATTCTTATCTAAGCATCTGCAAAGAAATATGAGGTAATTTTCACAGGGAAGGTGACATCACCTTCTCAGGTAGAAGCCTCGACTTGAAAGACCCTAAGGATTCTAAAAGGTAGCGGGGAGGGCCTGCTTGGCATCTATCCAGTACAAAGTCATGGAGGTGGCAGATGGGAATGTTGGGTGTGTAGAAGAACAAGGTCAGAGATTGTCACCTGTCCCTTGGGGTGTTATTGCCTTCTGATTCCTTGAAGTCTGTGGGATGCCCTAGAGTTTGGTGAGCTTAGACTTGGTGTATATGATGTGAGACCTGCTTGAGTCCTTCATTACCCAATGAAGGCCAAAAATGTGAAGCGGTCAGTCAGAAAAGATGATTTAACCCCTTCTGGACTGAGATGCCAGCAATCCTCTGGGATGGTCTTTGAGTGAACCCGAAATTTTCCTGCTGTGTCAGCAACCAGAAGATCAGATTAATCTTGCACAGATATCCTGAGTCAGGGGCACTTCCTTGCTTTTATGGTCTCAGAATCCCCCATCCAAGTAAATGAAACACTAAGTGTTAGGGAAACATCAGGAAGGATATTGAAGCCCTAAGTTGTGGTTAGTGAAATGTTACTACTTAAGGGGCAAAAATTGTTGGGAATTTGTTAAATAATAATACCTGCTATTTGTCACTTGCCTGTTGCCACAGGGCTCTGAAATATGTAAAAAGAATATGGGTGATGTCTTTTGATTCACGTGGTAATTTTGTTGAAGTGAGGCAGAGCTGCATGAAGTCGTCAGCCTCACTCCCTTCCAGAGTGATCAGGGTCTAGTGGCAGGACAGAGTCGAGATGACTGGTGATGGCTGAACATGCAGTGGGCAACCTTGGCATTTTCCATGTCTAACCAAGCTCTAAGTGCTCCATAGTCCCTGCTTCAGCCACCTTTGTGGCCACTGTAAAAGATTGTTCTCATCTGCCATTCCACAAAGGGACGTCTTCGCAGCCTTTGGTTAGACATAACATTAATTCACCAATGGGATTGAGACTCCTTGGTTGCTTTCAATCAGGTTAACCTCTGTGTGTATGTGTATGTGTGTGTGTGTGTGTGTGTGTGTGTGTGTGTGTGTGTGTGTGTGTGTGTGTGTGTGTGTGTGTGTGTGTGTGTGTGTGTCTGACTGCTTTGGTCCCCTTGACCACTTGTGTGCTTGTGGTCGTGAATGCTAATTCCTCTAACCCCTCTCTGATCTGGTTCCAATGCTGCTGCTGCTCTGTCGAGGCCCTGCCCCTCATCATGGGGAGGGCACTATCCTGGCCCTGTGGGAATAGGGATAGCAGGCCTGTTGTCCTCAAATGATGTTTTCAGACATCTATCCCTGCAGATGGCAGGCATGAATGACTGGACAGTTCCCGTGAGTTCCCAGAGTGAGGAAAAAGACTGGATCCATTCTAAAGATGGGGTTGCCTCAAGAACATTGGGGGCTGCTCCGTACACCTTGGCTGTCCTGGCTGGGGAAAAGCAGCCAGAGCTGAGAGTCCATGCTCATTCTCCTACATTGTCTACAGTTTCCTCTTCAGAAGCAGCTCAGGTCTCTGGACTTAGGATTGAGAGCAGAGGACAGAGTGAAAATGAGAAGCAGACCGCCAGGGAAGGTTTGTGGTCCCTGGTAAAGCATACCAGGCAGAAGATTGTTTCTCTTCCTCCTTTTTCTCTCTCTTCTTACTCTTTCTACAACAACCAGGGTCCCTGGTACAAATGGCTCCTGCAGCAGGGCTGAATTGGCCCCATTCTCCCCTGAGGGCAGTAGGTTCCCCAAGCCTGTGAGTTTGGGGACACAGCTGCTGCCATCTGCTGAAGGGCTGAGCAGCCTGGGGAGGTTTTTGTTCAGGGCTGAAACACTGTGGGAATACATAATTACTATAATGAGCACAGTAATAATCTGCCACGTCCTCAGCCTCCACTGCACTGATGGTGAGGGTGAAATCTGTCCCAGAGCCACTGCCACTGAACCGGTCAGGGACCCCAGACTGCAGGGTGGAAGCAGAATAGATCAGGAGCTTAGGAGACTGTCCTGGTTTCTGCTGGAACCAGGCCATGTACTTGCTAACGCTGGAACTGGCCTTGCAGCTGATGGTGACTTGGTCTCCTGGAGCCACAGACAGGGAGGCTGGGGACTGGGTCAGCTCAATGGCTGCCTGGGATTCTAAAGGAGAAGAAGAAAGAGACTGAAATGAATGAAGCATCCTGAGTATAGACAGTGAATGCAAGAGTAGTTCCCTTACCCTCAGGCTGTGTCAGAGATGCCCACTGGAAAACTCCTTCTGTCTCTAAAGTGATGCCAAACTATGGCTCACTGGAAGTCTTACCTTGAGGCCAGAGCAGTAGGATCCAGAGGAGCAAGGACTGGGAGAGCATTGTGACCCTGGCAGAGCTGGAGGCAGAGAGCTCTGAGTTCACAGGGAGACAGATGGGAGATATTTGTATCTGATGCTGGGTTTGAGAAGGTGCCTTGGATATCACCATGCAAAACAGTGTTGGCCCATCCTGAACTGAAGGACCCCAGGATTGGTTATATTCACATTGGAGGGAGTGGCCCCATTGTATTTCCTGGAAGGCTTCGCCTCACATGGCCTCTGTTTTTGTTGCTGTTTTAAATGCACCTGCCTTAGGCTGGACATGGTGGTGGCTGTGGCAGGTGGCCAGTTGTGGTTACAAGCAGGGGAAGCCCGTCTGCCTTCCTAGGAGAGATCTGATGGCTCTGGGTCTAGATACCAAGAGCTGACAGAATGAAGAAAGAGAGGAAGGAGCTGAGTTACAAAGAAAACTAAGACCAGGTAAGTAACAAAATTTATAGAGACTGAAGGGCCCAGGCTTACATGGAATGGAGACAGGAGTGTGTGTATGTGTGGGGGGGTATTCTGGAAATTCTGTGGTCTACAAGGTGTTTGGTGGAGGATGTGTCCCTTGCGTTGCTGAGGAGAAATGTTTATCCTTCTCTTCTGTGTTTCTGTTAAATCTTTCTGAAAGCTAAAAAGAAAAAAAAAGATTGCTGGTCTTAACCTTTTTTTTTTGATGAGGAAACTTATGTCAAAAGGAACAAAATGGTTATTCAATTACTGTTTTCCTATTAAAGTACACCTTCTCCTTTCCTCCCCTGATGTCTTGGCACGGCCCTGCCTCACTTAGGTCCAGTTTACTTGGAAGTCAAGCTGTCCCTTCCTGATGTCATTGGTCCTCTTGCAGAAAGAACGACAAGAAACAAACAACAACGACCAGCCCCCACCTTGGAAGCTTTCCCTGTAGACAAAACCAGGTGGAGCCAGGTTGGCCCCTGACGTTCTTACCCTTCTGTTGGGATTCAGGGCATGAAGGTCAGAGCGCCCACTTGTAAGTGTATGACTCATTATATGGAAGAAATGAGGAAGGAAAGAGAGAAGGAAGGAGCATTGCCCAAGTGGAACTGAACAGTTGGGTCCCTAGTGGGGCAGCTACTACTCCTCACAGATTGTTTGAACTTTATTATTTTAAAAATATATACATATATTTTAATTTTCAACATTCACTTTTGTAAGATTTTTAGTTCTAAATTTTTGCACCAGTTTACACCTGCACCAACAATGCATTAGTGTTCTAATGTTTACACATCTTCTCCAGCATTTATCATTTTCTCTCTTTTGTCATGTTAGCCAGTCTCATAGGTGTGAGGTGGTACCTCAGAGTTCTTTTAATGTGTGTTTTTCTAATCAATAGTGATTTGGAACATTTTTTTATATGACTATAAATAGCTTTAATTCCTGTATGTGAAAACTGCCTGTTCATGTCCTTTGACCATTTGTGAATCAGAGAATGAGTTGTAGTTCCTACAAACTTGACCCAGTTCTCTCTATATTTTAAAAATGAGGCCTTTATCAGAGATACTGGCTATAAAAATTATTTCCCAGCTTTCTGCTTCCTTTCTAATCTTGGTTGTATGGGTTTATTTGTGCAAAAACTTTTAAATTAATATGATCACAATCACCATTTTGCATTTCATAATGTTCTCTTTCTCTTCTTTTGTCATAAGTTCTTCCCTTCTCCATAGATCTGACAGGTAAACTATTCTTTGCTCTCCTAATTGCTTATAATATCGGTCTTTATATCTAAAACATGTAGCCATTTTGACTCTATCCTGATATGGTATGGAAGATGTTGGTCTGTGCCTAATTTCTGACATACTATTTTCATTTTCCTAGCATATTTTGTCAAATAGATAGTTCTTATCCCAAAAGCTGGAGTCTTTGACTTTATCAAATAGCAGATTACTATAGTCATTGATTACTGTGTCTTATGTACTTAACGAATTGCAGTGATCTATCACTCTATGTGTTTGCCGGTACCAACTAGTTTTGTGGATGGCTGCTTTTTAATAGTTGTTGATTTCATACACCTAAGCTACCTTTCTCTGCATTTTTTTTAATTAATTCCCTTCATATTCTAGATCTTTTGTTCTTCCAGAGCAAAATTATTATTTTTTCTAGCTCTATAAAATGATTTTGGTAGTTTGATTGTTATGGCACTCAATAAGTAAATTAAATTGGATAGAATTGTCATTTTGATTATATTGGCCACATACAGCCATGAGTAACTGATATTTTTTCAATTATTTAGATCTGATTTTTCCTTTATTTTTGAAGGGGACCAATGAAATCAGGAAGGTGATGTCTTGACCTGCCAAGGAGTTGGATTTAAGTGAGGCAGGGCTGTGCAAAGGAACCAGTCTCACTCTCTCCTCCAGAGCCATGGGTGTCCAGTGGCAAGGCACAGATCAGGATGACTGTAAATGGTTCTTGAAACCTGAGAAAGAGAAATGAAAACCTGAGACCTGGGAAAGACCTCTCTCCCACTACATCTGGGGCCATCTTGAATACCATCTTGACCTATGTTTTACCACAGGCCTCTGATGGGTCAGAGGGAAAGAGTGAGGCTGATGTCTTTGCACGGCTCTGCCTCACTTGAATCCAATTCACTGGAAAGTCAAGACATCCCCCTCCTGATTTCATTGGTCCTCTTCCAGAAAGAAGGATAAAGAAGAAACAACAATGACCAGCCCCCACCTTGGAATCTTTCCCTGTAGACAAAACCAGCTGGAGCCAGGTTGGCCCAAGGTTCTTATCCCATGTATTAGGATTCATGAAGGACAAAACAGTCAAAATGAAGTGGTTTTCCTTGCTCAGATTGCCCAAAGTAGCTTGCATTTCATGACCAGGTCTTCCTAGCTCCTCCTCTTCCTTCCTAAAGATTAAAAAAAGTTTTCATAGATCTCTAGATTGGTAAATCCATTTTGCTGGGCACTCATGGGACATCCACTAGGATAGCAGGTTTGCTACCCTAGGACCTCCATTTCTCTGCTTGTGGCTTTGATTGATTTCAGGACTTGACACTCCTTTGTTAAGTATGACTTGTCAATCAATCAATTAATCAATCACTTATTCAAGAAGCAATTCATTACATGATTCCTCTGGGGTAGACATTATGGATACATTTCATCTGGATAGTCAACATATTCTTATCTAAGTATCTGCAAAATGAATATGAGGGAATTTTCAGGGGGAAAGTGGTGCCACCTTCTCAGGTAGAAGGCTGGAGCTGAAAGGCCCTGAGGATTCTAAAAGGTAGAGGGGAGGGCCTGCCTGGGGGCTATCCAGCACAAAGTCATGGAGGTGGGAGATGGGAATGTTGGGTGTGTAGAAGAACAAGATCAGGAATTGTCACCTGTGCCTTGGGGTGTTATTTCATCTGACTCCCTGAAGGCTATGGGATGCCCTAGAGTTTGCTGAGCTTAGATGTGGTGTATAGGATGTGAGACCTGCTTGAGTCTTTCATTACCCAATGAAGGCCAAAAACGTGGACTGGCCAATCAGAGAAGACAATTTAAGCGCTTCTGGACTGAGATGCCAACAATCCTCTGGGATGGTCTCTGAGTGAACCTGAAATTTTCCTGTTGTGTCAGCAACCAGAAGATCAAATTAAGCTTGCACAGACATCCTGAGTCAGGGGCACTTCCTTGCTTTATGGCTGCATAATCCCCCATGCACATAAAGGATAAATGAAACACTAACTGTTAGAAAAACATCAGAAAGGATATTCAAGCCTTAAGTTGTGGTTAGTGAAATGGTGCTATTTACGGTAAAAATTCTAAGGAGTGTAATTTCCTATTGTTTTAAGCTTTGCTTACAGGGATAGTTGTGTGAACTGTCCTGAAGGTAATGGTGGAAAAATGCATGTGCTGCAGTCTGGGAACTACTAAAGGTGAATGTGTGTACCAGGGAAAAGTTTTGGGAATGAGGGTGGCAGAGCCTTGGTAAGATCATCCTGACTCTTTTTCCTCATTGTTCTATTTCCTTTCTGAAAAGGAAAATTCCCAACTGGTTAATCATGAGCCTTACTTGTAACACATTGTGACTACATGATTAGCTGTGAGATATGACTCATGCCTGGAATCAACCATAGCTGAGGGCGTTTTCCCTTTCTGTGATGATATAGGACATTTTTCAAACTATCTCTCTCTTTTTCCTTTTATAGCAAATTCTTATAATCAAGAAGTCTTGTAAATACAATACTAAATCTATTAAATAATAGAGTGATACTGGAGTATCTCTGAGTTATTTTAATAGGAAGCAAGTATGAATATCTTATAATTTTAACCTATATTTTTTGTCAAATAATAATATAGAGATGATATCCTGCTAGGGGGAAATCATTAGACAAAGTAATGAGACAAAGATGTAACATGAGCATTTTCTAATTAAATAGAATAGTAAATTTTGAGAAAAGCAACAGGATTAGACCATTTTCTCTAAGAACTATACAGATCCCTATGACTTGCCTTATTATGATTACTATTGCTATGATCAGTGTCTATGTAGATGCATAAAACTTATCTCTCATGGAAACCCAAGCTTTGAGCATGTTTTGGTGAAAAGTTCTCAATGGATTTTGCACATAAATTCTATGGATAATGGCAAAGAAAATGAAGTAATTTTCCTATTATTAAAGTATCTGTTTGATAATTATAAAGGTAGAAGAGCTCATTTTATTGTTGGACCCTCCAATTTTTACAAGATTCTTCTCTCAGGTACAGGAATTAGTTTCATTGAGGGCTGCTATTTGGATGGGATACCTGCTGAGTTCCCTTGCAACAAGAGCTGTTCTTCTTTCAGGTCTATTGGATTTGGTGTTGTCTCTAAGTGTGTGCACATTCCTTTTACTGATGGTGAGTGGAATCATCTTTGCAGACATTTTTGTACATTTTTTTATGTTTCAACCACAGGGTGGGATCCCTTCCTGTAATGGTAACAGGCCAGGGTTGGGTAAGTTGAGAATTTTTAGGGCACCTTTACTAGTCCCACAGTGTGGTCCTTCAAAAAGGCTGCTCAGACACCCAGGAGGCTGCTGAATCCCACTGCTGCTTCCAGTGAGAAATGACCCTGTGGTCTGGGTCTCCTGGTGCAGGGTTGTGACTACAG